CCTGAAAATCTGTCCTCTGTTGGCCTGGACTGAAACTGATGATGTAGGACAAAGCGGGCAGAATTGCTGGAGCCATGGCCTTGAGCAGGCAGTAGGAGGAGGGAGCTGTGCGTGGACGTGGGGTTCACCTTAGCCAGGAGCACAGCGGGCTCCCCCAGAAGGAGGAGGGGAGAAGCCCACGTGCAGAGAGATGCAGCTAGATCAGTACACACGATGATGTAAGGTGTGGAAGATTCTTCTGGTTGCCTCTATTCTTGTGAAAAGGGAAGCAAGCCATCAGCTGAGAGTGAGGGTGGGAAAGAGATATTGAAAGACTGGGAAAGAGAAGGTGTGAAACGGTCCTCCAGGAACGCAGGGTCCAGGAAGATGCTCTTGAGTGGCTGATGCCTGAGCTGGATGTAGATGGATAAATGGAGTTTGCTAGATGAAAAAGAAAGAAAGGCAATCTATGTCAAGGGAACAGCATCCCTTGGGTGACAGGTGACTAATAGTGTCATCCACTGAGAAAGGACTATAGGAGGAATGGTGGGGAACTGGACAGGCTGCATTTGAAGTGTTGGCGGGGCATCAGGTCCAAATGCCTTTTAGGTGGTTGGATATACAGGGCTGGAGCCGAGCAGAGAGTTCTGTCAGTCAATGTAGATTTGAGGGTCGTTAATTTGTAAGCGATTATGGATCAGGATGCCCAGGGAGAGTGTGCAGGAGAGAGCAGAGGCCCAGGCACTGCATCATGGAAAACACGGTCATTTAATGGAAGAGCAGGGAAGAGCGCTGGAAGAGATGAAAAGACTCCTAATAGGTAGAATGGGATTAAAAATGAAATCCAGAGGGAAAAGTGACTAACTAGAAGTCAAGAAAAGAGATATTTTCAAGAAGAGTATGGTCAGCCATGTCAAATACCCCAAAAGATATAGGTGGAAAGCCCATCAGACATGGCAATGTGGAAGTCACTCATGTTCCTAGCTGGGCCAACCTCAAAGTGGTGATAAGGTCGCAAGACAGCCAGCCAGGTGTGGAGGGTGAATCATAGTGGACAGTGAGTGTGGGAGAGCCTTTCCAGAAGGTTGTCTGTGACGGGAGGGAGAGAAGGGCTCGGAGCTGAACAGTACTGTGGGGAAGGTCTTTCACTTTTTTTTAAGATTTTTTATTTTTCCTTTTTCTCCCAACGCCCCCTGGTACATAGTTGTGTATTTTTAGTTATGGGTCCTTCTAGTTCTGGTATGTGGGACGCCGCCTCAGCATGGCTTGATGAACGGTGCCATGTTCACACCCAGGATTTGAACTGGTGAAATCCTGGGCCACTGAAGCAGAGTGCTCAAACTTAACCACTCAGCCACTGGGCCAGCCTGTGTCTTTCACTTTTCGACTGTATTAAGATGGGAACATCTGAGCCTGTGTACGTGTGGAAGAGAAATCTCCCAGAGACGGGAGTGGTAGTTCCACCACCACAGCAAACAAGGAGCCCCTGCTCTTCCAGGTGCTGGGGCCGCAGCCGTGACACAGGAGAGGCCCCAGCCTCCAGGAGCCATCCTCCAGAAGGGACCAACAAGCAGATGGATATGCAACATGGTAATGGCGACGAGCGCTGCAGAGAAACTGAGCCAAGCAGGGAGGGGAGGAGAGGAGGGTGGTGACTGAGTGTGTTGGGGGGACAGAGAGAGCTTCCCATTGCAGTGACATCTGCCCAGAAGCCTGAGGGAAGAGGGGAGGTGAGCAGAGTCCTGGAGGGAGGCCGTCCAGGTAGAAGAAACGTCAGGAGTAGGTGTGTATTTGGCATTTTCACAGAATTGTGAGGCAGAGGTTGTGGCTGGAGGAGGGAGCCGTGCTAAGCCTGGAGAGTCAGAGGGGCCGAGAGGCAGACAGGGGCCCGATCACGGAGAACCTTGTAGATCGCTGTAAGGACTTAGTTTTTCACTTTATAAAACCCCGCGACTTTGGTTGCTAATACAGGAGTAAGATTATTGTCTGGGAAGCCAGTGGACAGGAAATTTGGAAGAGGAGGAAAATCCTCAGGCAGGAGAAAAGCAGGAAAGGAGCGGTGTGGATGAGGTCATCCGAGATGGCGGGGGGATCTCAGAGCTGTTCCTAATGGTTTAGTTTTGTTCAGGGGTCTAAGAAGCAAGGTAGTGAGGACAGAGGAACAGTGAGGGAAAAGGTACCAGGGAGGGAGTTGGAGGAGACAGAGGCAGTTTGGAAGAACTGTCCATAGGATGGAGGATGAGGTTCACTGGGCCATGAGGGGGCACCAGTCTGTCAGGACCACGACTGTGCAGAAGCCCTGATCTGACCACCGTGGGAGTTCTCTGCGCTGCTCAGCAGCCTGGTTGGGGGAGGAGGCAACAGGGGCCAAAGAGCTAGATGAGAGAGTAAGGACAGCACAGAGCAGGTGACCAGACCAGGGACACTAGGGCTCTGCTTGCACAGGGACAGAGAAGACGCTGAGGGGACTTGACACCCTACAAACTCAATGGTCAGGCAAGAGGTCTCAGTGGCGTAGAAACCCAGGGCCAGTGGGAGTAAGAAAGCGCGTGATGTAAAGGACAGGACAGCCTGGTCCGAGGGTTGGACTGCGGGATTTCAGTCTTCAGAAGTAGATTGGGTTGAGTTGCAATAAGGTTCAGAGCGGAGAGGAGCTGAGGGTCACTTGAGATGATACAGAGATGGAGGGCAGTGGGGGACTTGTGGAGATAAGAAATTAGAATGGCCACACGTGGCATGGCTGGATGATGGTGAGAGTGGTTGCGGAGAGGAGGCCTGAGGGCCATATTCCAAGAAACTTGAAGAGTGTGGTGCCAGAAAGCCAAAGATAACAGCAACAAGAGAGAGGAGGGGGTTGACGAGCTGGACCACACGAGTCTCCAGGGACCACTTCGCCAGCCAATCTGCAGACGTGAGAGAAACTGGACTTGCTTCTCCTGCACTGTGTGTCCTTGCCTTCACTGGTGCCTGCCCTCTGCCTGAGTCCCCTCCCTCCTTAGTCTTTTGAAATTCTACCTGCCTTCAGGCAACCCAAAGGGCACCTGCATGAAACATCCTTTTTTACTACAAAAGATGAGATTTCGCCTTTCTGTTGGCTCCCACACCACTTTGTTTAGAACACTCTAGTGACATTGATGTGTGTGCAGCTTGGAGCCGTAGATGGCTGTGTACGTCTCCCTCTCCCACTCTAGACCACAGGGGCTTCCACTCGCTCATCTGGGCCTTGTTCACATCACGGAGTTTGGCAGAAAAGGCCACCCATGAACATTTGTGGCATGAATACTACAAATCCTCCCCCTTCGTCAAGGACAGGTCTTATACTGGAACAAACTCGTCCCCATGCCCAGGGAATTCTCAGAAATGGCACCTCCTAACCTGGAATGACTTAGGCAAATTGTCGAAATGCCCAGTGGGTATCAATCATCAAGTCTACTCTGCCTATTTGCCTATTTACTTAAATCTTCCTATTTTCGTTTTAACCTTATATTTCACTTTGGGGGATGGGATTAGGTGAATAAAGAGAAGAATTTGTCCCGACAATACTGTCACGTTGAATGCTACCTCGCTGCAAGGCATGACTCTTTACGAGGTCAGGAGAATTTCTCTATTCATTACCACATTCGATTTCCCCACTTTATCTGCAGAAAGGTAATAACTGGGGCCTTCCCATTAGTTCACCATATTTTCCTTGGGTGAAGGAGTCTAAGAGTCTTTCAGAACCTCTTCAAGACCAAGATCCCTTTGAGACGAGATGAGGTTGATCCCTCTTTCACTAACCCGGAGGCCAGCGAGGCACCGGGGGAGTTGACGGTAAACAGAGGAGAGACGTTCTGATCTCCGTATTCTGTTCTTTCCCAATGATGATGCTCTGTTTTCAAGCAAAAACAAGATCGTTCTAAATGTCATTGCTCCACACCCATCTGGGCTCCTGAAAGCAAGCTGCCTTGTTTCTGAATCAGATGTCATCACCCACCAAAAAGCCGCCTGCATCCGAGTTTGGCTGGGCGGGAGACACTCGCTCACTCCCCCAGCGAAGCTGCCCTCCGGGCTGCAGGCGATTGTTTCTTTTGAAAGGAGGAGGATGGAGAGGAAACAGGCGACAACAGAGAACCATTTCATCACGGTTCCTCTGACCCTTCAGAGACACTTAAAATAAACACTAATGGGCTCATTTGTGGGTGAGAACATTTTACTCCCCATAGTGCCACAGGAAGCATTGCCATTTTTATGGGGTGTCCAGAAGGGGCAGAGGGAAACTAAACATAGTAATGTAGTCTGTGGGCCATGATGGGTTTCCCAGCTAAAACCCAGGACGTGCTGTTCAAAGATGTGGACACAAGTCACGGCAGGTGAGCAGCAGAGCGCTAAGATGCTCAGAAAGTCCTGCAAAGGTCTGTCTGGGGAGAAACATCCAGATTGCCTCTGAGATGTGGTCACGCTCTCACTAGCCATGCCGCTGAGCCTCCTTCCAGGAATGACACAAAGAAATGCTCAGGAGGAGAGGAGGCCCAGAGGTCCAGAAACTCCCCTGGCTGCAGGTGAGAACTTGGTGGCTATAAATAACCCATCACATCATGGGGGCGGGGGAAGAGGTTCCAGAAGCACGATCACTCTCATGAACTTGCAAATTAAATTCCATTCATGAAAATGTATATCAAGCAAAGGATTTCAAAAGAGACTTTCATTGCATCAAGCATTCCCACAGAGGGAAGGAAGCCGGGGGAACCTGCTTACTGGTGGTCTCTCTTCACAACCTGAAATAATGCTCTACACACAGCTGGGTGGACGCCATAACACCTGCAGATGTTTTCCATAGAGGTGACGTGCCATGAAAAGCTTTCATGCTGCGGGTAGAAAGAAGACCTTCATAAATTTACATTCCACCCTTAAAAGCATATGACACTCTTTGTACGTGACAGAGCTGTGTGTGTGTGTGTGTGTGTGTGTATGCTTTATAAAACAAAAATATGTATTTCTTCTTCTGCTTAAAGGAGTGAAGAGAGACCGACGTTTATTGAACACTGACATGCGCCAGGCGCTTTGCATCTCTTAACTTCCCATTTCATCTTCACAACAAACCCAGGAGGGATGGACTGGGACTGTCACCATATTATAAGTGAGGAAATGAGGCTCCAAGAGGGTAAACCATTTGCCTGAGGTCACAAGGGCAGCAAACGACAGTCAGCCTGATTCCCAAACCCATGTTCTTCCCGCTACGTTTCTCTGCCTGCTCAAGTCCCAGTAAATACTTTTGTTACCCTTTCCTGTACACAGCCTTAAACCTTCCTGCCGGGGTAATTTTTATAGTTCATGGGAAAATGCTGCCGGAAAATCAGAGGAGGAAAAGAAAGAATTTTTTTGATAGGTACGGAAATGAAGGAGGTCCGACACGTATTCAGGCGTTTCCAAAAGATACAATACAACCTCGTCATTGATTAGTGTCTCATGCATATAGGGTGGGTGTCCTTCTGAATCGTGTTTAGGGGATACTTAAGTTGTCTTTCAAGCACAAACCACAAACTATCTGCGTCCCACAATTTTTGTCCACCATGTCGCCCCACCGTCCTCAGATCACAGTCTCAACTGTGGCGGTATTACCATTGTCCTCCTGGCGCCTGGGTTGCATTTCGTCTTTGAAAGCCCTGGTCAGAACCACTTTTAAGGACTCCTTGAATCGCTTCTTCTTACTGCTGCCCACAAAGAAGTAAATAAAAGGGTTGGCACTGCTGTTGATTGTGGAGAAGAGGAGAGAAATGTTGTGCAAGTTCCCGAACGTGGACCAATACTCATAGTACAGCAGGTAAAGCAGTCTCATGGGCATGGCGAAAATGAGGAAGATGATGATGGTGACCATGATGACCATGAACAGCTTCGAGGAATGGGACGTCCACGTGTTCTTTCGGATCTTAACTACGAGGATGGTGCTGGAAACCACCATGAGCGGAGTGAAGACCAAGAAGCTCAGAATGGCTATAAAGATAATCACCGCCCTGCAGTCACTTCGGGAGTGTCTCTGGCCTTCACTGTCAATGCACATGACATATTCCATGGTGGTCACTAAGCAAGAAAGCGCCCACAGGAGGGCACAGACGAAGGCCGACTGGTGCTTGGGGCGATGACATCGGTACCAGATGGGGTACAGGACGGACAGGCACCTCTCCACACTAATGGCCGTCAGCAGATAGAGACCCGTGTTGTAGCCAAACAGAAATGTCACTGATAATGTGACAATCGTGTAGTAATAGCCGGAAGAGAGCTCATAATCTAAAGCATAGTCGACAGACAGAATAAAAATACAGAAGAGTAATGAGATGTCCGCGATAGACAAATGGGTGATGTAGACTGTGAAGGGGTTTCTTCTCATCCGGAAGCAGAGGAACCAGAGGAGAATTCCATTTTCAACGAAGCCCACTGGGGAGATGCTCATAATCACCCAGTGCACGATGGGAATCTCCCGACGCAGGTCCCCGACGGAGGTGTTCCTACTAGTTGAGGTGTTCGTAGACTCCTCCACAAATGATGTCGCGTTTGACTGATCCATGAGGAGGCCTCAAGCTGGGGTTCTTCAGGGAATTTTCTGTAAATAAGTTTAAAAAAAAACATGAAAATGGATGAATTGGAAGAAAAGGGAGCATGTCCATGATGGATCATAACCTTCATGTTATACAAAAAAATGTTAAATAGACTGTACAATTCTCTTTTTAATGATGATAAAATTAGACATTTCAGCAGAAAAGAGAACTGACTTAATAACTTGCACATCCCTTAGTGCCCCTAATTCTGTATTATTATTTGCTTATGTTTCAGCGCCAAAAGGGATCCGGAAAAGTAAGTGGGTCTGAATTCCTGGTGTCCGTTACTGGTGTGGCCCAAGCTTTCAGAATGGGGTTTTGAAAATCATTTCATCTTCTGTGCCTTCATCTCCTGGCCTGAAAACCAGGTTAATCGCATTAAAATGTGATGACAAAATAGATGTTTGGGCAATGTTGTCATTTTTTTGAAGAAAAAGAAGATTGTCCCTGAGCTAACATCAGTGCCCATCTTCCTCTGCTTTATATGTGGGACGCCTGCCACAGCATGGCTTGATGAGCAGTGTGCATGTCCCATGCCCAGGATCCGAACTTGTGAACCCCAGGCCGCCAAAGAAGAACACGCAAACTTAACTGCTACGCCACCGGGCCGGCCCCTCATTTTTCAATGCATAAAGTGCCATAAGCGATGGGTAAATGAGAGAGAGTAGCTAGCAAAATTATGTTCAATAGTGTACCAATATTTTTGAAAGTGTGAACAATTAGAAGACCTTTGTTTCACGTCGTCTCAATATCTGTGACAAAGCTGGGCACCTACTCAGACTAGCTGTGCCGTGCAAACCAGGACTCCGTACCAGATGGTGAGTCTCCATAAGATGTGTTTATACATCCACATACCGTAGACCAGACTAGGCAGGAAAACACTATTGACAGACACTGAGCAAAGCGCTAACCTGAAACCCAAAAAAAGTGCTAAACGTTTGAGACTGCAAAGCAAAGATTCTCAGAAACTCTTACACATTACAAACTGCAAAATAAATACATGCCCAGCTCCCACCCTCTTCCTGTTATGTAGCAAATATATATATGCCACATCCGCCTCTGCAGAAAGGAAAAAGGAGGCAGCTGGCAGAGGTCATCGCCCTCGTCTGAACGCTAAATTGTCCTTCACTTTTTTTTCAGACGTTGTGTTTATGTGTGGTGGTAAAATACTGTTTTTTACTTTTCGGGGTGGGAGGTTTGTTGATTGTTTTTGTTTTTGTTTTGCTGAGGAAGATTCACCCTGCCAATCTTCTTATTTTTTCATGTGAGCTGCCACCCCAGCATGGCCAAGAGTGGTGTAGATCTGTGCCTGGGAACCGAACCTGGGCTGCTGAAGGGGAGCACATCGATCTTAACCACTAGGTCACTGGGGCTGGCCCTGTTTTTTGCTTTTTGATCTTCGTCCTTGCAGACCAGGGCCCCAACATGTGCAAAAAATTATTAACCTCTAGGAAGTTGACCAAAACAATATATACATGTATTTTTTTTTTTTTTGAGGAAGGTTAGCCCTGAGCTAACATCTGCTGCCAATCCTCCTCTTTTTGCTGAGGAAGACTGGCCCTGAGCTAACATCCATGCCCATCTTCCTCTACTTTATATGTGGGATGCCTACTACAGCATGGCATGCCAAGCAGTGCCATGTCCACACCCGGGATCCGAACCAGCGAACCCCGGGCTGCCAAAGCTGAATGTGCGAACATATCTGCTGTCCCACTGGCCCGACCGCAAAACAATATTTTATTAGTAGATACCTGCCTTTTCCTCACAAGCTCATCTGAAGCACCACAATATGCCGATGTGATATTTTGTGCAGCTCGAATGTCTCTGATGATGTTAGACATTTCTAGGATTGAGCCAGCAGATCGCCGGCACCGGCCAGGCTCTGAGTTTTTACTCAGTACAGCTGTGCCTGAAACCTGGACTAGCAGGCGGGCTGGTGGAAAGGGTAGTTACCTCCCCAGTGGCGTGATCCAGGAGCCCACAGAGGTCCTTGCCTCCACTGTTCCCACTAATACTTCCCTCAGCTGCTCTGAGGAGATACTGGATATTATTTTCACGGGGGAAAATTCTCCTTTCATTTCACAATTAGACAGAAGATATAGACCCCAATACCCCCAGGAGCCCAACACAAGAACCAGAATTCACAATACCATGGCATGGCCGACCACAGATCTACTCTAGAGACCAGCCTTTGTTGTAAGTTTGTAGGTAAGACAGCCATGTGCCCCCAAATCCCTCATCAAATATTTAATCAGAGCCAGCTCCACACCAGGCACTATTCTAGGCGTTGGGATACAGCAATAGATGAAACGGACAAAGCACCAACCTCTTAGCATTTATACGCCATGGAGGAGGCAGTCAATAACCAATGACAATGACAACAACAACAAAGAAATAGGTGTCAGACCATAACAAGCGCCAGAGAGAAAAGTAAAGCATGAACCACATCATGGACCAACTGTGGTGGTGGAGGCAGTAAGGCAAGGGTGGGCTCAAGAGGCTGAGTCCACCCATGATTTGCTGATGGATGAGACATATGCTATTGTACAAAGAGAGGATCTGTTTTTAGCCATTTGCTGAATGGACAAGGCACAGGTGGAGCAGGTTAGAAAGGGATATACGGAGTTTGAGAAGCCTAAGTGACAGCCAAATGGAGACGTCTAGTAGGGTGTCAGCAGGTGAAGGGACGGATGTAGGCTGGGAGTGTAAATGTGGATGTGGTATGCAAACAGGTGGAATTTAAAATCATGAGGTCAAACGAGATCACCTATGAAATATGGGTAGTCAAGAGGAGAAGGGGTCCAAGGACGGAGTCTTGGGGCATTTCAAAGTTTCGAGGGTGGGGAGATGAAGAGAAAGAAGCATCTGAGACAACTAAGGGAGAGTGGTACCCAGGAAGCAGAGAAGGTGTTTCGAGGAGAAGGGAGTGTGATCAACTGTGCTAACATCGCAGCCAGTTCAAGTCAGATGAGCCGTGGAAACTGACCATTACGGGAGAGTCATTGCTGACCTCGATGAGAGCAGTTTTGGTAGAGTGGAGAAAATGAAAACCCGATTAATCAAAGTGAATTCCAGAGAGGATGGGTGAAGACAGTGAGTATGGACAACCTTCTTGAGGATCTTGAAAGTAAATTCAAGCAGAAATGGAGCAGTAACTGGAGAGGGCTGTGGGGCTAAAGGGGAGTTGATAAGCTAAAAAGAATTATCCAGTAGAGAGGAAACAACTGATCATCCCTAAGCGCAGGGTCTAGAGCTCAGGGGAGTTGCTGGTGTTATGTAGGAGCAGAGGATCTGGTTAAAGATGCAGCCAGGTGGGTAGAGTGATAGCAGGAGTGTTAGAAGTTAGAAGTTCGGGGCTGACCCCTTGGCCGAGTGGTTAAGTCTGTGAGCCTCACTGCAGGTGGCCCAGTGTTCCGTCGGTTCGAATCCCGGGCGTGGACATGGCGCTGCCCATCAAGCCATGCTGAGGCAGCGTCCCACATGCCACAACTAGAAGGACCCACAACTAAGAACATACAACGATGTACGGGGGGCTTTGGGGAGAAAAAGGAAAACAATAAAAAAAATTTTAAAAAATAAAATAAAATAAATCCCCTAAAAAAAAAAAAAAAAGAATTAGAAGTTCCCTTCTGAACATACACTATCTCTTTTTCCAGAAAAGTAAGGAGCAAGGTCATCAGCTTAGCAGTGAGGAGAGGTTGAGGGTGTAAGGAGAGAGGGCAAGTTGTGAAATAATCAAGTGAAAGAGGGAAAGGACTAGGGAAATACGCAAAGAGCAGGACGGCCAGGCCAACCTTTGCGCAAGTCTAGGCTGGTGCTCATGAATTTAGAGAGACAATCCAGCACGATGTGGGCTTTTCTCCAGCCCTGGGTCAGCTGTCCATACGTGAGCAAGGAGAAAGAGGAGAGCTGGATTTAACCAGAGTTGGGGTTTTACCAGCCTGGTGCAACGTAGAGTCGGGGGCAAAGGAACTGGACCACATGGAAGGGAATGGTTGTGATGATGGACTGCAGAATTCAACGGGGTTAGGAGAAAAGTGAGGTCTTGCGGGAGGTGATGGACAGTGAGCAGGGGATAGGAGCCATCTATTGTAGATCTCAGTGGTGTCCAAGAACTGCTGAGGTCCCAGTACTAGAGGTAGAGAATCGGCAAATGGGAGGTTGGGGCTGGAGAACGAGATGCTTGGAAGTGGGATGGTGGCGGTGTGGTTTTGGGGTTATTGGTATTGACAAGTGTAGAGCATGACCATGGGAATGAGCGGCTGAGGGGGAGTGAAGGACAGGTCATGTGAGGGGAGAAGGACCTGGAGCCAGGGCACTGGAAGAGTTCCCTATATGGACATTGAAATATCTATATGGACATTGAAATCGCTGGGAGATAGTGTTGGAGTAGAGGAATAGCATTGGAAAAAACTGACTGTGATCCAGGGGCCAAAATCTTCAAGGAATTAGAGAAAGCGACCCACGGGTCTGTAGATAGTCAGAGCGAGGAGGGTGGTAGTTGACATAATTTGGTGGCATGTGCTTCCGAGTTGGGTTTTTCTTGTCGCTGGTGGTGGTGGTGGTGTTTTAGGGAAAGAAGAAGAAAAAAGAATAATCTGGAGTACAAAAAGGTAGAGGGTAAGAGGCGACTAGATTGGTACAGTCCAATAGAAATATAATGTTTGCCACAGGTATGATTTAAGGTTTTCTAATAGCCACACATAGAAAAGTAAAAAGAAACAGCAGAAATGAACTTTAATAACATATTTTATTTAACCCAATGTGTTCAAAATATCATTTCAACATGTAATCAATATAAAAATATTGTGAGCTATTTTACGTTCTTTTTTTCACCTCAAGTTTTCCTCTTACTGTTCCTCTCCCTTCAGACCAGCACATTCCCGTGCTTACTAGCCCCATGTGGGCAGCAGCCACCATATTGGATGGCTCAGGTTGAGAGCCATGAGAAAACCAAAATCCCTTCTACGAGGAAGTCAGATGTCTTCATCTTTTAATA